CAAAAGCATCACATCCAACAGCCTTTCTCTGCTCTGCTGCAATCAAGTGTTCGTCCTTGCAGCATGAGTAAGAATCCAATACCATCTCTTACTCGTGGTTCGCTTTCAGACAATACGTAGGACCCGGTGGTGAAGGAGTGCCGTTCTCTGCCTTCCATTTAATGCGTTCGGATGAAAGAGCGGAGTCTGGAGTTGTGGCTGTTTGGTGTTTTAAGTGCTCTGGAAAGTGTGTTGAGTGACTTCTTAAAGATGCTCTACGAAGCTCTTTGGAAGGACTTTGGTTCCCACAGCTGTGAAGGTTTCACTGGATGGCGCACCACTGCTTTAGTATCTGCTCTGGTTAATTAGTTCACTGGTCAGACTGTTAGTCAAGGAGGAGGCTTGTTTTCCTCCTCATGACTTGAAAATGTTTGTCTTTATTGTCGTTTTCTTGGATGTGGTCGATTTATCAGCTGATTCGAAATGCATCTTCTAACAGGAAGTATTAGCTTTCCTCTGCCTGTTTCAGTGTTAATTTAAAGATTATGTCGTTTCTTTTCAAGGTTTTTAAGGTTTGGCACCACTTCATTCAGCAGAACTCTTGTACCATCACAACCAGTCACATGATCTGAGATCGAACCTTCATGTAAAAACTGCTCAGACTTTAGAAACTGTTAAACTGCTGCTGCTGGAGACTCACCTCTTCTTTTTGCCCTTTGATTCAAGTCGTGCTCATGACCCCGACTTCAACTTCATATCACTTTATTGTCTTTTTATATTCAAATTGATCTCCTCCTCATCGTGTTTTATTTACGGCCCGTTGTTTCAGTTCAACCACACTTTGGTTCAGTTTCTGTTGTTTAAATCTGCTTCATAAATAAATCTGACTTGACTTGAATTAGTTTTTTAATTTCTCTTGTTGTTCTTTTCTGTCCAGCTCTTTGGTTTTTTGTCGCTGTGCACAGGGAACAGAATTAGTTTTCATTTTGGGGCATTAATAAACTTTTGTAATCTTTGCTAACACTCTCTCTGCTCTGCTACATTTATGCATTTCAGAGGTTCGTTTTCAGATAAAACTTTCTCTCCAAACACAACAACTGAACTCTACTCCAGCACTATAACACAGCTTCAAGCAGAACAGGAGACGACTAACAGCAACAACAATCCTCTAATACACTAAAGTCTTTTACTTTAGTCTCTTATAAAACTCAAAATCAGTTTGTCCTTTGGAGTAAACATTTGTCAACATGTCGTATCTTTAAATTGTTCTATATTTCTATCAAACTTGAGTCAAAGCTGTAAAAAAGAAGAGCCGTCTTCCAGAGCTCAGTTCTGCCTCTTTTCAACAGAACTATACATATCTTATCCCAAATATCCTGTTTTCAGCAGAAACCAGACAGAAACCCGATAGCTCCGAACAGTAATGTGAATTTAATGGGCTCCTGCTCACTCACTCACTCTTGATAGCGCTGTTACTCCATTTGCAGCTCCATTGTGTAGCTGACAATGTAATGTCTGTTATCAACAATCGCACTTTGTCCACGGAACGAACACAAAAAAAAAAGGAACACTTTGGTGGTTCAAAGTGGGTGTAAAATTTGCACACTTTGTTGGCATGTAAACCTGCGTTTTTGTGCTGTTAGCCGAGTTGCAAAAGCTCAACATCCAGCTGTGCTCTGAACCTCGTTCTCTTATTCTTCTGTTTGCATCATCAAGCGTGCACAAGAAGCGTCCCCCCCCTCTCCTGTCTGACTTTAACAGGGATTTCGGTGTTACTGATGACACCATATAATTCTCATTTGGCTGTGAAGGCAGTGTTTTAAAAGGCAAAGCTGATGAAAGGTGTTATGGGAGGAGGTGGGTGAGGGGGGGAGTTAAGCCTGGGAGGGGGGGGTGAATGCTCAGATTTATCCAGACTTTCCTTGAAAACCCTGCAAGGAAAAAAAAAAGAGAGAGAGAGGGGGGATTCAGTGCTGCACCTCTTTCTGCTCAGTGCCAAACAAATGGTGTTGCCACTCAAAGTTGTTTCAGTAATTCTTGGGGGGAATGTAAAATGGACTTGGGTTTTATGTGAGGGGAAAATAGCCTTTAAGAGGACAACAATGAGCTTTGAAAAAGGTTTTTGTTTTATTTGATTTTTACTGCTTTTTTCCCCCTTTAAACAATCACTCAATTAAAGTGGATTTTTCCATTTTTACCAGCAGCATTTTGGCACTTAAACAGATTCCAACATGGGTTTAAATTCTGCCAAAACGAGAGGAGAAGGATCCATTCAGGAGTCATGTAGGAGATGAATTGCCTCCCTGACCAAACAAGCAGCTTATTGGGTCAAAGCACGAGGCCGTTTAGAAGAAATAAGGTTTTCAGACGTGCAGGGAGATGGACATAAAAGATCACCTCCTGCCCTTCACTTAACTCTGCCTTTGACCCCTGAGAACAACAAAAAAATAAAAGCGGAGAGTTCCCAAGAGAGCAGCCAGAGCTCACTGATAACATCACCGGCCCGTGCGTAAAGGCTGCGCCAATATAAACTCCCTGCGTTCGCAATTAAGCCATGTGCTGCGCCAATCTAACCCAACCGGCTCTCGGTGGATGCCAGGTTTTCTCATTGTCGACGTTGTTCTCAGCCCGAGCAGCCTTTGATCCTCCCAGCAGCTACGAGCGCAGGACGAGCCGATGCGTTCTTCAGCTGTGCCTAATCCAAACTCCCGGCGCAATCTAGAGGCGGCAGGTAGCGCTGTTTTCTTAGGTGCGCGCAGTTCCCAGAGAAAGAGGGCTCACCAAACGCTTTGACACATTGTGAGAAATATCCGCATTGTATCCTTGTAAGCTGTCACCAACACAATTACTGCCTCCCTCTGACAACTGCGGGCTTTTCTTAGAAAGCAATGGCACCAACAGAGGAAGAATTGAACTGCTCTCCTGGTTAAAGCACCACCATCATTATACAGCTTGTAATAAAACTCAGTGTCTATAGTAGTAGGAAGAAATGTACAGTGGTTTGGATGAAAAATGGAGCTTTTGTTTTGTTTGTTTTTTTGTTTTTTTTAAAATTATGTTTGTTTGTTGAGATAAATCAATCTTTTTGAGTTTGGACAACTTCTACTGAATTTATGTTCAACCAACAAACTACATCAGGTTGGCAACAATCACAAGTATTGTTATTACCAGTCTTGACTGTCTAAATTGGTCCAGACATGTTAAGATAAAGACGTAGACTTGAAATCCTGCCTGCAAAGTGAATAAAAATAAAGTCGTCAAACCAATTTTATTAGTCCTGTAAAGCCTGAACCATGAAATAACTGCCCGAAAATTCACATTTTTTGAAAATGGAGTGTTTATCGAACCTTCTGACAAAAAACAACAACATAAATGTTCATATTTGAGTTTTAATTTGTATCATTTTTGCTGTATCTGGCATTTTTGGTGCACTGAATGTGTTATTAATTAATCAAATATGGGTTTTCAGGGAAGAAAAATGTCACACTGATGATGTGGAGGTCTCAAAAAATCCTCTATCAAACATCACACACTTCATGTTACAGATTAAGTTGCTTCAACATTAAATTTGTTTGAAATCAACTTATGCAGAAACTTAAGTTAAAATCACACAAAATATTAAAGTGATGCACTTACCACCAGTGTAGTGTCAACCCAAACCATTAAAATCATAACAAAGTTTGTCTAAATGAGTAAATTGCAGTCATGCATCAGTGTTTTTGAGTTATGCTTCAGCTGAAATTATGTTCAAGTAACAGATTAAAATGAGTTCAGGGAACAAGTCTTTCCTCAACAATCACCAATCTGAATTTGTCCAGACATGTCATCAAGTCATCAAGTCAGTTTTGTTAATTTCGTCTCAACTTTAAATTAGTGTTAAATCAACTAATGCAGACATGTGAGTTCAAATTACACATAAAATTAAGTTAATGCGATTACCGACACTATTATGTAAACGGTACCCACTGAAATATTAAAAAGGTTTATCTGAGTAAATGAGATTTTTTATCCTGCAGCGTGCATTTAGTGATGATAATAGGTCTCTTGAATGACTTTTTAGATCGAGTTCAACACAAGAACAAATAAATGCTGAAATATCGTCACTACAAACAACCTTGCATTCCTCGGCGCCTAAGGCCTCCTAAACCCTGAGTCATCCACTTGCATAAAAACTTCTGCACCGTCATGGCCATCTGTTGTGTGCCCAACTGAAGTGCGTCAATAACTTTTAATGGTTAAAATTTGGTCCCTCCGAGGCAAGATGGTGCACTGGTGTCATTTGTGTAATTACGCTTTTAATGAGCTTTGGCAAACAGGGATCAGCTCATTCGCAGCACCTTCAGTGATGAGCTCGGGTGTTTAGAGTGGGCTTACCGCTGTAATGTGAATTCACAGGGCTTGAAATGTTACACCTTCCTTTGCAGCTGGGCTGCATCTGCAACGCTGTTGTCTCCACCGTAAAAATTGGCCTGCATACTCCTACAAGCGGTCACCCTCTTTTTCTGCACAGTTTGACTAAACAAAACACCCTCTCTGGAATATTTATGTCTTCATAGCAACGTGACACTTTCATTGTGAGCTCTATGGCTTGATTCCTGGAGGCTGGTTACGAGTAAATCAAGCACAATAATACACTTGTTTTAAAAACAAGTTGGTGTCGAGGTTTAAAGCTGCAAACGTTCACTCACTCTCCTGAAACATTCCCAAACATTGTATTCATCGTGGCCTTGCAGGAGAAGGCTGGAGGAACGTGGTGATGAGTGGGAAAACACCAGTAAGTGCAGATGTGGGAAACTCTGCAGGGTACTGGGGGGTGAGAGGCAGCGGGTTGGGATGGGGCAGGGAGGGAACTCCAGCCTGCCTTCTGGCTGGGCCAATGGGCCATGGTAATTAGATCTGGCCAATGTGGGCCCTGGGCTTTGGCCTGGGGGCATAAAAGGGGGGCCTGGGGCAACAGACCACTCATATCACTCAGAGGGTTCCTCTCTTTCACCCATCTCCTTCACCCTCCTTCCTTCCGCTGCATCCATCCATTTAGACGCCTTTCTTCAACAAGCCATGGACGTCTTCTCGCCATCCCAGGTCTACTACGACAGAGCGTGCGCTTCGTCCCCAGACAGCCTGGAGTTCGGCCCCGGCATGGAGCTCGCTGGCTCCGAGGAGGACGAACACATCAGGGTTCCCGGAGCCCCTCACCAGCCTGGACATTGCCTCCAGTGGGCCTGCAAGGCCTGCAAACGCAAGTCCAGCTTTGTGGACCGCAGACGGGCCGCCACTATGCGTGAACGCCGGCGGCTCAAGAAGGTCAACCACGCTTTCGAGGCTTTGAGGCGCTGCACCTCGGCCAACCCCAGTCAACGTCTGCCCAAGGTGGAGATCCTGCGCAACGCCATCCAGTACATCGAGAGCCTGCAGGAGCTGCTACGAGAGCAGGTGGAAAACTTTTACGGCCTACCTGGAGAGAGCAGCTCCGAGCCAGGCAGCCCGCTGTCCAACTGCTCTGATGGCATGGTAAGACCTCTGATCCACATGTTCAGTATCTGTGAGCAAACATCTGGCCGTACAGAGTCTTGCAGGTTCCTGGCTGCACCGTAGACACCTGAAAAAAGCTTTTTATTGTTGGGTGTCATCAGTGTAGAAATGAAGCCTGAGCACTACTCCCAGTTCTCATTACCTCGTTGAGTATTTCATGACAAAATAGAACTCGCATTTCCAATTTAGAATCCTATTAATCAAATAAGCTTGTTTTGCCCCAAGACCTCAATTACCATGCTTCTCCATGCATGTCATACTCTCCCATAATTCCCTAATACAAACATCAATACCGTGCTCTTACAAGAATCTCTGTCCTCTGTTTGCGATCCCTATTGTTATGGGTTGGTTGGAATTAGTTTTTGTGTGTGTGAAGGTGAGACTGTATCAGATAATACAAAAGAACTTATAATGCTGGATGGACTAATGGCTTTCCCACCACCGGACACTTTATAGCCCTAATAAACCAAACTAAATCCACCTTACTGAAGTCTGGCAGGAAAAAGCGGGTGCTTTTCTGCATTCCATCCTGACTGCATGTTCTGCACCGCTGCCAGGATTTTCTGCAGATTTACTAGGAGAAAGTGTCATCTTGCACAAACTGGTGTTGCTTCCACTGATACAATCGATTCGCCACACTCAGAGCCGGGCAGGGGAGGGGAGCGCACACAGCCACTTTGGCTTTAAGGTGGATGTGAAATAAAGAAGCCAATAACTTTGGAATTCAGGATTTATTAGCCTGTCCAGAATATCATGAAGGGCACTGAGTTGTTTTTCTACTTTTTTTTTTTTCCTGCTTCTTCCTGTTGAGTACATGTTTAAACATACAGAACACATCATCACATCCGCCTGTTTGCTGCTGCTGCTGCTGCTTTTCTGTCTTTAGGTTTTGTTTTTTCAAGAATTCAAGGGTAAATTTGATTTCTCATTTCCTTCCAGGCTGACAGCAACAGTCCAGTGTGGCAACAGCTGAATGCAAACTACAGCAACAGCTATTCATATGCAAAGAACGGTAAGACCTTTTGACAGCAACAGCAGTCTGATATGAATATAACAAGCGTTTGCGTCCGCATAGTGCTTTAAAAAACTAATAACTGAATGGTACATTGCTTTAAATTTATGTTATATGTTGCCTCTGGGAGTCCTACGGTGAGAGGAATTCAATATGAAAAACTGGAAGCGATCAACAAATGTGTAAAAAAAACATTTTGTTTTGTGCTTAAATAAACCAGTATCCATATTTTCTATGGGTGTGGATGGATTTGTATTGATTTTACACAGATTTACAGTTTGCTTCTTGATTTTTAACCATTCCAATCATATTTAAGGGTTTTAAATAACACACTGAATGATCCAAACTCCACGTTTCTCTCAATCTTATCAGAGAGTTTGGACGATAAAGCAGCCGGAGCCTCGAGTCTGCAGTGCCTGTCCAGCATCGTGGACCGTCTGTCCTCGGTGGAGTCCAGCTGTGGACCGGCTGCTCTGAGAGACATGGCCACCTTCTCCCCCGGCAGCTCCGACTCGCAGCCCTGCACACCGGAGAGCCCCGGGTCCAGGCCCGTGTACCACGTCCTGTGAAGGCGGCCTCGCTGTGACGTGGATATATTGCCACAGGCACCAAACACCAGCTGCAGAGATTAGAACTAGTTTTGTGCAAATTGGAGGAAGACTCAACAGAATCCGAGGACCTGTGGCCACCATCTTTTTCTTTCCCCCCCGCTGTACATGAGATTGTAAATATGTAATGTAAATGCCCATTTATTCTATACATGCTATTATACCCAATGAGACATATTTAATTATGACAATTAATGTAATGTTGCATTACTCAAAAACGGTATTTAAGCAGCGTTGTATCTTGTTACGGTTCATTGTGTTGTGTTTATTAAATCTTTTGTTGTTTTGTACAAAAGTATTTTGTTTCTTTGAACTTTTTTTTTTGCGACCATATGTTCAGACATCTCAGTCACATTAAGGCAGCAGCTGCAACGAGCTGAAATAGTGGCAATAAATAACTAAATTCTACGTTGAGGGGGTTTACGGTGGAGACGGCGCTGACATGAATCCAGACAAAAACAAAACTGAAACAGGTTTTTTATAAACAAAGTCGACAAAGTGACACTTTATCTCACGCTGGAAGCAGCTGCCGTCATTAGAACGTTAATTAGACAGCTTTTAAAAGTTTGCAACTTTTTCCACAGATCATATTCAGGAAACACACAAACCACTTTTGATTGTAAAAACAGCTAAATTAATCATTTAGGATAGCAGCTTCGCATTCATTTGCATAATAATGAATCGGAGTCTTAAAAAGGTTGCTTTATTAAAATAAAAGGGCAAGCTATTTATTATGTGCCTCACACAGGGATGCTCCTGGACGGTCTAGACTGGCTAACAAGGTGCAGGAATCACATTAGACACTGATAGAGGTCAGCTGATACCATTTATCATCTCACGCCGCTCTAATCACTCATGTAGCCTATTGCTCAGGAGTCTAAATTACGTTCATCATTTCCCCTCGCGCGCACGTTTTGCACATTTAGTGCCGCTGCGTGTGTGTGTGTGTGTGTTTTGGGGGAGGCGACACTCCTTTATGTACCTGTTTGTTCTTTCCTACCAAATGTGAGTCATCATTAGCACCCCTTGATTAGTTCGGCAACACTAGAGTTGAGAGCAAATGGCCTCTAATTGTGCTTATTGTGTGTGAGTGAGGAGGAAGGAGCCGCATGCCGTGTTGTCGTACTGCGTCATTGTCTTTGATCAGAGTGAGCTGTGTTTCTTTATGTTGTTTTTTTTATATATTTAGACTGTCGAGAGGCAAAAGATAAAAGATGTTTTTCACTTTACAGATATGCTTTTCACTCCACTGCATTTATCTGACAGCTTTGTTGGAGTTTGCTTTGCAGGTTAAGATGTAAAATAGAGTGTCGTGTACATCAAACCACCAGACAGTATATAAATTAGACGCAGCTCCTTCTGGATTAAATAAAAAACATGAAAGTGCTGCTTATATGTTGTTGCATTTTGTGTTAATGGTAGATCATTTTATTTGATACTTGATCATACAATCAGCCCTGCAACAAATCCTCACTTCATGAAGGTCTTTTTAAATCAAAGTGTTGCAGCAGGATGTAAATGTAACTTTAAATAAAGTGGATATTGAGAGTCTTTTTGTATAAAATCTGTAGGAAACTTGCTCAGATAAATGTGATGCCATTAAAGTGCATTGGAGTAGGATTAGAAAAGCATTAGAAATAGAAGTGTAAGTATCTCCAGCACCTGCCTGAAGCAGTCAAATCCTTATTTAAATGAAAGTTGTAATGCTGCACAATGAAAACACTTAATTCCTCAAGAAAAGAAAACCTCATCATGTAGACAAATGCCACCCTGGAGTGTTTGCTATTATATATTTCCATATTAATTGACCAATGCATTAATGAGTCAGTTTACTGTTGTACATGGTTGAGCTGGAGCTGCTTTCGTCCTTATAACAATTATTTATAACTGTGTTCAATATTTATAAATGTGTTTTGCATGCAGTGTCTTAATCTGTAAAGTGATGGCGAACTAAAACCCTTAAATAAATGTAATGGAATGAAAAGTGCAGAATTTCCCTCTGAATGATGGAGCTAATGTGGATTCTTATTTCTGCTCAGCTGAAAATCTCAAATATGTTATTAAAAAATTTATTTGGCAGAAGTTAGCAGATGAGCCTAAAGTTGTATTATGTCATGTCGAAAATTTCATTTGTCTATATGCATGTACAGTAGCAGAGTAATATATATATATTTCTGTATATATACACACATATATTTATATTTACCTTGATCTGCTACCGTACAGATACTTCGAATACAACACGAGCACTTGAACCGTATTCTATCTCCACCACATTGCTATGAAGCATTCCAGCGGCGGCTTGTGTTTCACGAACCTCCGCGTCCGACGAATGTCACTGACGGTATTTTACACTTTACTTGTGATTCATGAATCGCACACAAGCCTGCAGTGTCGACGCTAAACATACAGCGGGTTCACATCAAGGTTGTTGGAGTCGAGCATGGAAGGTTGACGAGGGGCAGCATTTATTGTCTATTCGCTGATGTGTTTGAATTTAAATCTGGACAGCGTGGTCATGACAAACGGACTCCTCATTAATATCAGTGTAATTACATGCTCAGTGCCAGCACTGTCGTCACTGCAGTACCGAGTGCGACCACAAGAGAGAGGTGTTTCTTCCTGCATTAGCACATGAGCAGTCCTGTTTAGCTTATGTGTTTTATTGATCAATATTAAAGAGCACGTTTACACCCCCAAGGTTGTATTAATGATCGCCTTGCTATTGTGTCTGATCAAGGCGCAGTAATTCACACGTTTTCCCACATTTGAAGGGAATCCTGATCTCGTAATGAATGTTGAACTGGGTTCCTCGGAGAATTAAATCTGCCCGCTGGCAAAACGTGTGATGTTGCTATCTAAGCAAGGAAGTGCAAAGACAGGAAGGAGGGGAGATGATGTAGGTGCACTCCTGAGATGCTTAGCGAGGCCGGAGCCCGCCTGGTTTGTTTGGTCGATCGAACAGATGATGTTGCGGTGACAGCTTTACAGTGTCGATGCTGCAGATTCAGGAGAGCGGAGCCTGTGCTGTCTGCTCGTATCCAGACAGGTCAGGGCGAAGCGAACCGAGGTCAGATGTCTCGCGCAGATGAAACATTTATTACATAATTGATGCTCTTATGTTCCCACAGCTTAGAATGATTAGTTTATCTTCAAATGCACTTTGTCCTTCATCATAACATAAAACAGGATTTACACTTTAATCCAGTCTTCTGCTGACAAAACATTCATTTCCTTACTGCGGATAAAAAGCCCAGCATTTCTTTAAACCATAAAGTATCCTCCTTTTCTTACTGATAACTACCACATAACTTTCTTTTTAAACTTCCAAACACAATAAAAGCAGTAAATTATGACCTCTTGCTGTTGGAATTCAAATTCATGTACCTGCCTGCTTTCATCGAGTCAGACAGATTCATGTATTTTATACACTGTGGATGCTTTTTATGCCTCTGCATCTGCTTTGCACGTTTGTGTCTGACAAAGCAGCGCAACACTAGTAGTCTCATTTTACTGCTTTGCATGTTTTATATCATGAAACTGCTGCATATTTTAAATAACACACAACAATGTAGCATAAAAGTGTGCTAAATGATGTTTGTTTTTCCTTTTTATTATTGTTCTGCATGCTCCGATATGGTCTCAGTGACCTAAAACAGCCACTCTGTTGCATTCACAGCGATGTTTATTAACGTGCACCGTCCCTGTTAAATACACCAACAAATAAATGAATAAAAATGAGCATTTTTGTACACATTATGGACAATAATGGACGCCACAGCGAAGGGCAACCCACACGACAGCTCCTCAGCGATCCACACAGATGCACAAATTCAGACAAAAATAGTCCTAAAGCTTCTTAAGTGAACACATCCTCCTACACGCGAGCACCAACGCCGCGAATGTGCTGCATCACGCAGAATCACCGAGACAAATGGAATATCTGTAGAGCGCACGGTTTAGTGTCGAGGCGTGGTGAGGGGGTCTTGTAGTTTTATACAGTATTTTAAAATCTTTAACTTTACATCCATTTCTTTCCATTTTTCCTCCTCAGTTGTATTATTCATTTTTAGAGGAATCAAATCAGCATTGAGGGTCTGAGGCATGTATGATTCATCCCTACTTGACTGGAGACACAGTTTACTTAGCAAATAATTAATAAATTCTCCTCTCAAACCGCGCCTCTGCCTCTCTGTGAAAGCATTTGTTTATATAATTATATGTCTATTAATATGCCGCAAATCTTTTGGTCATGAAGGAAAAATATGCATCCAGCTTCCATCTGTCACTTCCAATCTGATCCAGACAGTCTGGGGTTTAAATCTGACCAGCCAGCAGCACACACTGCTGCATGGTGCAACAACAACAACACTGCAACAGGGTGCAGCCGCTGTACGCTATAACTGTACTAACGATGACAAATCAGCAGTGTTCATCACACTCAGTGAGGAGGCATGGATAGAGCTGAAGTTAAAATCAAAGAAACCGATGATAATATCTATTTTGTTTCATCATCTTGGCCTAAACCCCAAGGAGTCGTCGCCGAGCCTTTTGTTATTGTATCCATGCAACCCCGAGAAGGCGCCACATTCAGGCTCTCTTTGCTCCTGATTAACACCCATAGCCATGAGTGAGGGATTTGTCACCTGCGTTAATGTCACCTGCACGCTTGACTTTTATCACCTCGGGCTTTTGGTCTTCTGCTGCTGAACTGGTTGTTTCATGGAGAGCAGCGCTAACAGGGATTTTACTGCACCAAACAGCGTGTACGACACGTCGCCTCTGTGCCTTCCACCGCCGCTGTTTGACTTCTGTTTACAAGGCCCTCTTTATTAGTTTCACTGTCTGCTCTTTGTGCTGAGCTCACAAAGGGGCCGGTGACTTTCTGTTCCAGGGGGCTGAAAACCTGGACGGGGGTTTCAGAGGGACATTTCAGCACAGAAGGTTTAATCACTGCACCTTTAGCAACTACACTTAGATCAATCGGGCAATCAGGGACAAGCTGCTGTCAGAGTGTAATTCAGTGGGCTGCTGATTGCCTTTCAGAGTCAGTGCTGGGGCTGTCACAGGGGACAATGAAGCCATGTCCTGAGACGGGCCCTACAATTGAAAACTTGCACATGATGAGCAATTCAGGGGAAGATTGCAGCTTTTCAACTTTCATAACAAGACACTACACTTGCAAGCAGGTGTACCAGGATCTAAGCAGCGAGGCTAAAACTATTTGGGACTAAACTGACCCAACATTTCTTGTATCAAAGGCTCGCATTAAACCATCCGTTTTCCATGAATGCTTACTTAGTACCGGCATTTACGGACTATAAGCTGCTACTTTTTCACACGCTTTGAGCATTGCAGCTTAAACAACGATGCAGCTAATTTAGGGATTTTTTTTGAGTTTTACGAATTTGCCTCGAGACGATAGTGACATTGAAAACGACAACGAAAGAGAGACGAAGAGTAATTCTGAGACTGTTCAATTCCGACACTGAAGAACACGACTTAAGTGGTTTTAGTGCTCAGGAGGAAGATGAAGATAACGATCAATGACTTTACCTGGTAGGCTACTAAGTTTTAAAAAATGTGTAAATATCTCATGTTACAGCTGCAAGGTGGCGCAGTTGGTTAGCACTGTTACTTCACTGTTGAAACGACAACCTTGTTACTGCCGGTTCGCTTCCCGGTGGGGGCACCGGTATCTTTCTGCGTGGAGTTTGCATGTTCTCCCCGTGCAGCGTGGGTTCTCTCCGTGTTCTCCGGCTTCCTCCCACACAGTCCAAAAACATGTTGAGGTTAATTGGTGATTCTAAATTGTC